AAGCAAATGGACTTGTGTTGATCCGCGCCACCAAGCCTGCCCGGAGGGGGAAGGGCGTTGACCAGCCCGCCTGCTCCTCTCTGGAAAGAAAGATGGCGGCCGCACGGGAGCCTTGTGGAAAGCGGGTTTGAGCCGGGCTCGGGGGAGCGGCGGGGACCTCATGGGAAGGGGGGCTTTGTGGGCCGTCCCCCACGCCCCACCAAGGTCGCCAGCTGCCCCCCACGAGCGGCTCTCCGGCACGGCCACGACTCCAGGGCACAGAAACCAATCTCTTAACTAGCTAACTTTTAATAGAAATTCTTCCAGGGTCAATAAGTAAAATAGCAGAAATTCAAAACCGCGCGGCCGCTATCGCGGCCGCGCGACCTCATTTTATTCTTAAACCAAGTTGTAGAAAGCAAATCATTTCACAACGCTGTTTCAGCATGTCTGATTGGGGGGGGGGGGGGTGGGTCGTAAGCTCTAAACAATAGTTGTGCATCTTCTATCGAAATAATCTATCTAGTCAAAGTAAATAGAGTATTAACTAGAACTCATCTGCCTCACAAGAATTGGGAGGGGTGGGAGGTGGGGGTCTATTGGGGTTCGGGGTTAAAAATGAGTATTGGTAAAGGGAAATGTGTTCGGTATCTACATGACTGAGACCTAAACCCGAAAGCTCTGTAACTTTTCCCAAAAGCTCTGTAACTTTTCCCACAGTGATTCAATAAATAAATAAATTATATAAAAAAAAAAAAAAAAAAAAAAGTAAATGAATAAGGGACTGAGGTGATAGTTCAGTGAATAAGGTGCTTTCCTTGCACGCCGCCCACTTAGGTTCAATCGCCAGCATCCCATGTGGTCACCAAAGCCAGCCAGGAGAGATGGATGAGCAGTGCATAAGATATAAGATGAGGGTAGCCAGGTGTGACCCAACCTCCCACCCCCCGCCATAAAAACAAACAACTTTAAAGTTTTGTTTCTAAAATGTAAATATAGACCAAAGTATTTGTGAGGGCCGCAGCTCCCTGAATCTGCTCCAAATTGACCTCTGGTGGTGCTCAGCAGACCCTATGTCATGCTGATATCCGTGGGCCCCACGGGTGACTTATGTGAAGCGGGGAGGAGAAAGAGGGTCACTTTCTCCTGCATTTGCCACTGGGTTACTGGGTTCTTATCTCCCCTCGAAGAAAGGAATTTCAGGAGTAGATAAGCAGTGAAATAAATGGATTTTATTTGGAGGGTTTTTTAAGGTGTGGAGGGGGAGAGGGTGAGAGAGAGTAACGTAGGCTTCTCCAAGGGCGAAAAGAGAGCCTCTACACACATACCAGCGTTAGACATGAAAGCATGAAAGTACACATGTGCTCAGGCACCGCATGTGCTTGGCACCACAAGGGTGCAAGCAGCACATGGGCTCAGGCAGCATATGCGCACCCTTCCTTTGTTCAAGGTGGCCTTTTTATTAATTAATTATTTATTTATTTATTTTTGTTTTATGCCCGGCAATGCTCAGGAGTTACTCCTGGCTTTACACTCAGGGATCACTCCTGGCGGTGCTCAGGGGACCATATGGGATGCTGGGAATCGAACCCGGGTTGGCCGCATGCAAGGCAAACACCCTACCTGCTCTCCTATTGCTCCAGCCCCCTCAAGGTGGCCTTTATAGGGTTTCTCCAACCTGCCCCCACCTGGGTCTTCTTCCCAGGTCAAAGTCCGTTGCTAAGGAGGTTATCAGGGAGGTTGGGAGTGGTGATGATCTTCTTTGGGCTGAACCACAAACTTTAATCAGATTGAGGGAGAGATCAAGGGAATTCAAGGAATTTCCTTAGTGGGGAGGGGTCCAATCTCCTTCAGTCCGCTGCTCAAGGTCTTATCTGTATCCACAAATTGGATCAGCCTTGGAATTTTCCTCCCAGAACTTTTGCTGACCTGTTTCATTGTCCAAGGCCTTTCCCTATCTACCTGCCTACATCACTATCGCTCCAGCCCCAGGTTGATCTTTTATCAACTTATTATAATATAAATGCAACACCCAGGGTTTTTCTTTTGTCTTTCAAAACTAATAAACTGTAGAGAGAGACAGCACAGTGGGCACAGTGAGTAAGACACGTGCCTAGCACGTGACTGATCTGGGTTTGATTCTTGGCACCCCAGATCATCTCCCTAACACCACTAGAGGTGACCCCTGAGCACAGGGCTTGGAATAAGCCTTGCTCTTCTCTGGATGTGGCCCACCTCCCTTCCTAAATAAATAAGTAAAATAAAATAAACTTTGTAGGAGGGGCCAGGGAGACACACCAGGCAGTGCTCCTATCTCTGCACTCATACTCATGGACTACTTCTGGCAGGGCTGGGTGCCGTGGAGGAATATGGGAAGAGTATGGGATGCTGGGGATTGAACCCAGGTTGTCCGGTGCAAGGCAAGCACCCTACCAGCTGTACTATTGCTCCAGCCTCGAAATAAACTATTTTTTTTTTTAAATAGATCAGCTGTAGTTAGCAAAAAAGATGAGCAGAAAGCCTACATTTTCCATGTACTCTCTTCTTCCCTGCCCTCCCCCCGCCTACACACACACACACACACACACACACACACACACTTGTACTTTTGATTACTGTGAATCTAGATGGGCACATCTTGACATGTCACATGATTTCCTGAAGTCTCAGGCTTCATGTTTTAAGGAAGTAAAACAGCGGGTAGGGCGTTTGCCTTGCACGCAGCCGAGCCCAGCAAGCTACCAAGAGTATCTCGCCCACACGGCAAAGCCTGGCAAGCTACCCGTGACGTATTTGATATGCCAAACACAGTAACAACAAGTCTCACAGTGGAGACGCTGTTGGGCCTGCTCCAGCAAATCGATGAACAAGGGGAGGACAGTGATTACAGTGATTTAAAACATTATTAAATTCTTTGAGAGATACTCTCTGGAGTTTTTTGGATTATTTAACCAGTATAAAGATTTCCATTTTATCAGCTTTATGAGTTCCATGGTCATAATTCCTGCTCTGTAGATTCGGTGTGTGATTTCACATTACATGGTTCATGTGTAGTGTAGCATGTAAGGTTAATATTCAGATGTTTACAACCCTAATGATTGTTTAAGAGTACATACTGACATAGATATATTTTTTTTTGTTTTTTCCCTCTGTTCACTTAATCAAAACAATGTATGCATTTGTTAATAAGTTGAAAATGATCATTCCTTTACAAATTTAATTTGCTGTAATAGTTCCGCAATTACCAAGCTTCTGTAGTGAATTAAAAGGTTGATTAAATTTGCCAAAATTTAATTACCATGATTTTCAGGGAACACCTAAAATTTGGAGAGGAATTCAGCTGCATGATTTTTTAAAAATTTTTATTAGTGAAACACCATGAGGTACAGTTGTAAACTTACAAAGTTTTGTGCTTGGGTTTCAGTTATATAATGATCGAGTACCCATCCCTCCACCAGTGCCCATTCTCCATCACCACTGATCCCAGTATCCTTCCCCCCCATCCCCCTCCCCATCCCACCCTGCCTCTGTGGCAGGGCATTCCCTTATGTTCTCTCTCTCCTTTTGGGTGCTGTGGTTTGCAAAAGAGGTATTGAGTGGCATTCATGTTTGGTCTATAGTCTACTTTCAGCACGCATCTCCCATCCTGGGAGGATCCTCCCAACACCCTTTATTTGGTGCTCCCTTTCTCTATCTGAGCTACCTTTTCCCCTAGTGTGTGCAGCTGGCCTCCAAGCCATGGAGTAAACAAACCTGTTCTTATGGTTACTTCAAAGCCTATATGAACAAATTCTAAAAGTCAGAGTTAACTTTGAATGGTGGTCAAACAAGATTAGAATTTTTGTTTGTAAATTGTCGTTGTAGCTAAAAGATGGCCATCTTAAAAATAAGAGTCTTGGGGCTGGAGTGATTGTACAATGAGTAGGGCACTTGCCTTGATTGTGACTGATCGGACTTCAATCCTCAGCATCCCAAATGGTCCCCTGAGCCCCACCAGTAATGAACCCTAAGCAGAGCCTGGAGTAAGCCCTGAGCACTGCTAGGTGTGGCAAAAAAAAAAAAAAAAAAAACCACAAAAGAGCTTTGTCAGGGCTCACTGATGGCTGCATTCAGTTTTTCCTTCCCTTAATTTGGTCTAAATAACTATTCTTGAGATGCTAAAGTTTTGCTTATGAATTCGCCAGGGTCCTGATAGTATCCCAGAAAGCATTAAGAATGCTATAAATCTGATAACTAGTATTCTGGTAAGCTGTTCTTGGGCTTTGTTGCTGATTATAGGACTAGACATTTGAAATAAATGTTCTTATAAATATTATTTTACAATCGTTTGTATGGAAAAATACAAGGGCAAATTTATTGTTTGGGATAATTAGAGCATGGGAAGCTCTTGATTCTGGTTTATCTTGGGATTCTGATTAATGCCTTTTGTTATTAAACTAATTTTTTTTGTTTTAATTCTTTGCTACTTGAACTGCTCACCTTCCAATTTCAACCCCTTTTACGTCTCAAACTTCAGTTTGAATTTGGGACTCATTGTATGTACTTATGTGTTGAAGTAACTTATAAATCAGTTTCTGTCCCAGCTATTTAGAACTTCTTTTTCTTATCTCCTTATGAATAATTCCTTTAGTCATCAACAGAAAGAAATTATGTTCCTCTTAAACTTCAAGTACTGTTCTGATGACTAGGGAGTCACAAGAGTGAACAAGATCTCGTCTTTCTTGGAAGGAGTTTCCAATCTGCTATCATTGATTGATTGTGGCTATAATAATGAGTTTGATAATATTGAAATTGTAACTTTTTATCTATGAATATAGTTTAATTGAATAGCCATGAGGCATGTTTGTGAGCCTAATAGAATATATTAGTACTCATTTCTTCTCTTATAAATAAGAGAGTGGTGAATTAGAAAATGACATACTTTTATAGAAGGTTTGAATATTTTCCAGTTTGTCCTTTATTATCCTTATTAAGAGCGTGTCTTAATCAGATTCCTACTTTTTTCAATCTTTCTTTTCCAGAAACTGGCAGATCTTTCTCTTCGCATCCAGCAAATTGAAACAACCCTCAATATTTTAGATGCAAAGGTTTGTATTTCTGAAAAAAAAAAAAATTTAGTATGGTCTTTGCTCAGTGTATACCAGCTTTCTCAGTTATGCTAAAGTTTAACTGCTTTTCAGGATGGATTGAGTTTGATTCCTTCATCTATGTGGAGGCAACAGTATTTTTTTTGTAATCGCAATGGCAGGAATGATAATCATCAGGATCCATTAACTGAGTCCATTTAAATGTATAAATGAGTTGAGATTTCATTCCGTATGCTAGTCAAAGATATGAGTAACGTGCTAACAAATACAAGCTATTATATGGCTTAGCTGATGGGGTGTTTATATTAATCATTTGATTATACAGCAAAAATTATATAAAGCTGGACAGTTCCCAGAGTAGAGATTAGAGAAAAATATTAACTTTAACATTTACAAATATTAAATGCCAATGAAGAATACCATTTGTGATATTAGAAATTACAAGAGATAATTAGGAAACATAGATGGGTGTTTTGAATTTACAACCTGCAAATAGTGTCTTTTTCTTGTTTATAAAACAATGGAAGCGTTAACTGTATTTTTTGACTTTGTTCTTTCAGCTGAAACATTGATATTACCATATTTTATTTTTTAAATTTTATTTTCACAAAGTTGTTCATAATAATGGATTATTCAATATTTCGGCACCAGTTCCACCACCATTACACGTTCCCACCACCATTATTTTGAATTTTCCTGCCACCACTCAAACCTGCTGAACAAGCAGACGCTAGATAATTTATTTTGTATTGCTTGTTCTGAATAGCATAAGATTCCATGTGGCCGGCTGCTTGCTCCTAGAATTCTAAAATTTAAATAGGGTCTGGAGAAATTTTTGCAGTGAGCTTCTCAGTTCTGAGATTCTTTTGTGTGTCTCTGGATCATGGCCTTTAAGGAGCTTAAATAGCAGCCAGAGGCATTTCTTGGGCGTGACATCCAGGGTCCCATAGGCGCGAGGAGATGAGAAGGACCCGGCCATCCCCTACCCTTGAGGCCTGGAGCTTGCAGTCACTGGTCCTGCATACCTAGACTTTTCATTGAGTACTGGAGGTTGGCAACCGCGCGTGTCCTAGGGGACAGGTAGAAGGACAACGCCTGCTCCCGTCTGAGGCACTCCAGTGAAATCAGCCTGGCACAAGGTCCAGAGGCATCTCTGCAGCAAGCTGCTTGGTTCCGAGATTTTTTTGTGTGTCCTACCATATTGTTTGAACATGGATGTTAAAACGTTGATGTTTCCATATACCAAAAAAATTTATTGGCTGCTCATGAGGAAGTAAAATGATAGTAGCTTAGTCAAAATATCTATTTTGTACTTTCTGCCTTTCCTCAGGGATTTTAGCGACTGTTTTTCTCTCAGAATATTTCTCTAGCTTGGAAAATTTAGGATGCTTGGACTTGAATGTCTTCCAGATATTCTCTTTATACACTTTAAACTAGTTGGGCCATCGTCACTGTGCTGAGTACTGTCCTCAGTCAACAGTTCTCAATGAATATTGCTACTTTAGATCTTACTACCATTGCTCTCCCCCCCCGCCCGCCATTATTCTTTAATATCATTGTGTCTTATTTTAATGTTTGAGAAATTCTCATTATGTTAGAATCCAAGGTCACGAGTTACCACACGGGCACATTAACTTAAAATTATTTCTATGGCCGTAGAGTTAATCTTCAAAATTAGCCAAACATTTGGCAAGTGCCTATCATTGATATCTAGATGAAATCAGAAAAGAGGGTTTTTAGGCTTGGGATGTCAGAGAGTCCTTGCCTTGTATGTGTAAGCCCTTGTATTCAATTTCTGGCACTGCAGAGGATTGAAGGGGGAGGCAGAAACAAAATTAAAAGAGAATTTTCATGGTTTTTGCAGACCCAGACTCATAGTGCTTATCTTTGGTATATGAAAATTTGTTTTCACTTCAGTGACATTTAGTGATTAGATATTTAAAGGAAAAAAAGAAGTGATCTGTTGTGTCAGCTACTAAAATATGAAGATAGTAGTTTGTCATTTCCCAGATAATGAAAGCTGAAAACCTAAAATGTACCACAAAGCAAATTTTTTTAAACCAAAAAAGGTGGTTCTTGATGCTTCCTCCTTGGCTCTTGGCTCTGGAGTTATTCCTAGTGGTGCTGAGAGACCATATGTCATGTCCAACCTCTGTATTGCAGTTTGGGGCTTGCGAGGGCAAGGGGCAAACCTGGCTGTGCTTAGGGCTGACTGCTGCCTCTGGGCATAGGGATCATATCTGGTCTGGATAGGTTCTCAGGATCAAACCCTAGTCAACTATGTGCAAGGCAAGTCCCTTATCAGCTGTACTCTGTCTTCAGCTGCCTATCTAGAGATTGTAGCTAGGAAATTGAAAAGCCCATTTTCTCATTAATTTACACTAGGCAGGTTTGGTTCTTACAGCGGCCACTCTGAGTAGTGTTGAGGGGTGGAGGAAGTCCTCCACTGAATTTGGCTGTAACCAAATTCAGAACCTCAATGTTGCTGGCGTGTGCTCTTCTACTTGGTCTACAGTAGGGTTTCTTCTGTTTTAGAATGAGGTTGGTGAGAAATTATTTTAAAATATTTTGTATTTAAATACCTTTCACTTTAAATCATGCCTTGATTATTTAAAACGTGGTACATTTTAGGTTTTCAGCTTTCATTATCTGGGAAATGACAAAGTACTGTCTACACCCAGTGATGCTCAGGGGGACCCTATGGGATACCTGGGGTTGAACCTGGTGAGGTACATGCAAGGCAAGCGCCCGACCCATTGTACTCTCTCTCTCTGCCCCAAAATACCATTCACTTTTAAAGAGCTCATGACCTGGAGTTTTGCACAGCTGAGATTTTGTAAATCTTTGTAGGCTTAAGGGCTGGAGCGATAGCACAGCCGGTAGGGGGTTGCCTTGTACGTAGCCAGCCCAGGTTCGATTCCTTCGTCCCTCTCGGAGAGCCCAGCAAGCTACCGAGAGTATCCTGCCCACACGGCAGAGCCTGGCAAGCTCCTCGTGGCATATTTGATATGCCAAAAACAGTAACAACAAATCTCACAATGGAGACATTACTGGTGCCTGCTTGAGCAAATCGATGAACAACGGGAGGACAGTGCTACAGTGCTTTATAGGCTTAAAACCTAACTTAAAACAGCTATTTTAAAACTCAAACACACCTTGGGATGGAGAGGTAGAACAAGGACTAACACCTTTGCCTCTTCGTTATCGGCAGCCTGGAATTGTCTGTGGGCTTCCAAGCACCACCAGGAGTTACCCCAGAGTCTGGAGCCAGGAGTAAGCCCTCAGGACACCAGGCATGGCCATAAATACAGTTCCTTCCCCTGCCCCCCCAAATGCACACCTAAAATCTTCTGGGTTCTGGGGCTGGAGAGATAGCACAGCAGGTAGGGTGTTTGCCTTGCACGCGGCTGACCCTGGTTCGATTCCCAGCATCCCATATGGTCCCCTGAGCAACGCCAGGAATAACTCCTGAGTGCAGAGCCAGGAGTAACCCCTGTGCATCGCCGGGTGTGACCCAAAAAAGCAAAAATAAATAAATAAATATATATATAAAAGTTGCCATTTGTGTCACTAAAAAAAAAAATCTTCTGAGATTTAAGAACTTAACATTTACCATTAATGCTAACTTGAATTTTCTTTTCTCAGTTGGCATCTATTCCGGGCCTTGAAGTAGTTGTTCCTGTGAATGACACAAGTAGTACAAAAGTCACACAGCCTGAAACCACTTCAGAGCAATCACAGGTAAGGATTTAAGTTCCCTGCAAATGAGTAGATTTTCTTGATGAAACCATGTAGACCTATGCATCAGGCTGTTGAAGGAAGAAGTTCGGTAAAAATGTAAAACTTTGAAGGAATAGCATTTTAAAACCTTACCTAGAAAATGGCTATGTTTAAAAGAAAAGGAAGAAAATATCAATTATTTAATTTTGTTATTTTTCTAAATTCTTTAGGAAATATACTTTCACAATGTTTTATTATAAAAATACTCAGACATTCATTAATGTAGACCAGTGTTGTATATACCCAAATGCCCATTGCTTGGATTTGCCAGTTAAGATTTTTGTTGCAGTTACCTTAAAGATCTTTTATTTCTCAGTGAAGCATCATTATCGCTCACCTGCCTATTCTCTCAAGCATACCTGCAAAGTTCTGACATTGTCTAGTTTAACCATACTGCCTTTAATACACACAATATACTTACCAGTAATCTCCTGCCATGATTCTTTGTTACTCCAAGTAGACCCTATAGTCATCAGGATGGGATTTGTGAGAAATGCTGAGTCCTAGGCTCCACTCCAGACCTACTGAAGCAGAGTGTATGGTTTAACAGAATCCCAGGTTATTTTTTAGGCTCTTAAAATTGGAGGGATACTCTTCTCAGAAACACTGTTCTTTCTAAAAGAGTGTGGTTTGGGACTTGGTTTGTTTATCAGCATCCTAGTAGAACTACATTTTGCATTTGTTTCTTGTCTTAATGTTCATTTATGCCCTGAATAAATTTAAGTTTTATATTGCTGTGTTTACAGTAATATAAAATTTAAATTTTGTATATATAATTATAAAATTTTATATTACTGCTCTCAGTAATCACTGTCACTGTCCTCCCGTTGTTCATCGATTTGCTTGAGCGGGCCCAGTAACATTGTAAGACCTGTTGTTAACTGTGTTTGGCATATCAAATTCGTCACGGGTAGCTTGCCAGGCATTGCTGTGCGGGCGAGATACTCTTGGTAGCTTGCCGGGCTCTCCGAGAGGGGCAGAGGAATTGAACTCGGGTTGGCCGTGTAGGCTGCATGCAAGGCAAATGCCCTGCCCACTGTACTATTGCTCACAGTAATGTAAAATTTAAATTTATTCAGGGCATCAATGAACGTTAAGACAAGAAATACAGCAGCATTGGGAAAGACGAGTGAGGAAAGCTGTTAAAATCTCAGGGCTGGGACGAATGGAGACATTACTGGCGCCTGCGCGAGTAAATGATGAACAACAGGAAGACAGTGATACAGTGATATTACTGTGTATTTAAAAAAATTAAAATTCCATTATTATTTGAAAACAGCCTCAATGAACTATTAAAATTTAAAATAAAGCTGAGTAACTAGACTCCTGATGCCTGTGGGACTCTGCATCTGTGCCTGGAGTTGTTTTTCCCCTGACATTTCTTAGATGGATGGTGATATTATCCATGATAATGACTTAAAAGTGTCAGGGGTAGTTATGCTGCGCCAAGCATTCTTCTTAATGCTTTTTATAAGTAAGATAATTTAATCCTCACAACAGCTCCATGAAGTTGTAGTTTTATTATCAGTTCTGTTTTAAAGATGCATGGAATGAGGTATACAAAGGTTAAATAACTTGCTGAAGGTCAAGAATTTTAACTTTGGGGATGGGTCAATGGTACAGTGGGCAGGGTACTTGTCTTACACGCAGCTCACCCAGATTGGGGGACCCGCATATGGTCCCCCAGATTCTCCCTCCCTACACTACCGCCTGATTGTTTAGTACAGAACCAGGAGTAAGTCCTGAGCACTGCTGAATGTGGCCCAAAAAACAAAACAAGGGATTCTAACCCAGGCAATCTGGTGCCAACGACCTACTGACTCTAGCACCACAAAGCTGAATTCATTGCATGCAGCCAGCCCATGTGCAGAGCCCGCTTGACCTGTCTGCTTAGACTATATGTCCTTGGGCAGTGAAGTAGAGAATCGTTAAGAACAGGGTAGTAGGAATTTTAATGATAATGATTATTTTTTATTGTTATGATTATAACAAGTGTCACTAATGTATTTATTAATATATTCATTTCATATTCACATGACATTACATATTAAGTATTTGTTAACATAACCAGTTACATTGTGATTATCACTGTAGGCTATGTAATATGCCAGAGGAAAATCAGATTTTGCAGAGGAATCTGCAGTGGTTTTTGTTTTTTAGGTTAAATATGGAGCACCCTTTTCCTCAAATGAAACTTGTGTGAAGAATATCACATGTTTCTTTTCTCCCTATGAGTTCTTATCTGGTTATGTTAACTTTAACATGTTTTTATTACTCTTTAAGTGATATGTGTCTAACTTTTTTTTTTTTTGGGTCACACCTGGCAATGCACAGGGGTTACTCCTGGCTCTGCATTCAGGAGTTACTCCTGGCGGTGCTCAGGGGACCATATGGGATGCTGAGAATCGAACCCGGGTCGACCGCGTGCAAGGCAAACGCCCTACCCGCTGTGCTATCTCTCCAGCCCATACGTCTCTAACTTCTGACTTTCATTTTTCCAGGTTTTATTATAAATGTCCTCTTTAATTGCATATTTTAAAATATGCACAGTTGTGTTGCTGCTGTTTGACATCTCAGAAACTGATTATGAGTAGTCAGAGATGTCACCGTCCTCCTGTTGTTCATCAGTTTGCTGGAGTGGGCCCAGTAATGTCTCCATTTTGAGACTTGTTGTTACTGTGTTTGGTATGTTGAATACATCACAGGTAGCTTGCCAGGCTTTGCCGTAGGTGGAGGAATTGAATCCGGTTCGGCGGAGCCGGCTGCTCGCAAGGCAAATGCCCTACTGCTATGCTATCAGGGTGTTTGTCTTGCATGCAGCCAACATGGCCAACCCGAGTTTGATTCCTCCGCTCCTCTCAGAGAGCCCGGCCAGAGAGTATCTCGCCCGCGCAGCAAAGCCTGGCAAGCTCCCTGTGACATATTCGATATGCCAAACACAGTAACAAATCTCATAATGTTACTGGGCCCGCTTGAGCAAATCGATGAACAATGGGAGGACAGTACAATCAGAGATGAAGTTTCTAAAACTCAGAATGACCTGATCTTTCTCTGGCAACCTTGTTTAAAAATTGTTCATTCATTTTGCAGGACTGCAAGTTCCATTGCATTTCTGATTTTAAAACTGTGTGTGTTGATCAACTTGATAAAATACCTTTTTAGAATGCTCTTAATATTTAAATTATCTTGTCATCTGTCCCACAGGTAGGGGGAGGGTATGGGATGGGGGTATACGGGGGTTTTTGGTGATGGAAAATGGGCACTGGTGAAAGGACGGGTGTTTCATCTTTGTATGACCGAGACTTAAACCTGAAAGCTTTGTAACTGTTCTCACGGTGATTCAATAAATAAATTTATAAAAAGAAAAAAAAAAGGCAGAATTCATGCCCAATTCAATCAGCTTAATCAGTGGCTGAATAATCAAATAGCAATAATCTAATCAAATAGCAATACTCTTACATTTAAAAAATTTTTGAATCATCTTGTTCTTCATAGCTATTAGTGTGTTTTATATAAAACATTTAAAAATAGACCTAAATATTGTTTACAGTAAGTTTTGATTGACATTGAAGTCAATTTACTTATCACGTGAAGGATAATCATACATTTTAAATTATCCTTTTCCATCCTTATTCTGCATGTGAGCCAAAGATCCAAGGTTTACTCACTGATTTTTCTGCAGCTTTAATTTCATGGTTCAGATTTTATTTCTTTCAGCAGAACATACAGCTGTGCTGATTGAGATTAGTTTGAGAATAAAATGAAGGACAGTTGAGAGATGACAGGATTTAGTGGGTCATTCAACTAGCAAAGGTGTAAGACCTGACATTATTAAATCTTGTTGAGGTCTTGGAACTAGGCAAAATTTACTGAGTTTTGAAATCCCTTCCATCTATATTTAATTATTATTTGTTCTGTTTTGGTATTGTATGAGCTTATTGTTTATAATTATTTTTTTAAAAATTCCTCTCTAATTACATGCTTTGGGCTCTTTGTATTTATTTATAGATGTCTATGTAGGTGGTCAGTCTTGTGCACCTAGCAATGTCGTAAAACAAATAAAGGATTTTGGATGTTTTATTTGCCTTTGAGATTTGGGCAAGTTTCGTTTATATATGAGTTATCTGAGGAAACATCTTTTTTTTATTTTTTAGGAAACATCTTAATACAAAACTTACATCCATATTCTAAAAACTGAATATTTAAAGATGTTTCTTGGTTTTCTACTTTCCACTTTATATATGTCGACATAAAATTAATTTTATTCTGTTGAAGAAATTCCTCTTAATGTTAATATACATATAATGAATGAAAATTCACAAACAAACGTACCCTAAGTGGTCAGATTGATGGAAAACTCTGGAACCTCATAGAGATAATCTTTTACGCCTAAATGAAGACAGGGTTTCCCTCTGAACAAGTTTCAGGTAACATGGTACCGTGCAAAGCAGAATTGCTCGTATGTTCCAAAGCATTTTTATCTAGAAAGACTATTCCCTAGTAATCATCACTTTAAGTAAACATTTTGTATTTACTCCTAACCATTGTGTAGAATTTACCATTTTCGTAATTCCACCCTAGCTGAACTACAGAAACCAAATTATTTGGGGTTTTTTGTTTGTTTGTTTTGTTTTGATTTGGTTTTTGGTTTCGGACCATACCAAGCAATGCTCAGGAGTTACTCCTAGCTCTGCACTCAGGAATCACTCCTAGCACTGCTCAGGGGAGCATGTGGCGTGCTGGGGATGAAACCTAGGTAATTGTGTGCAAGGCAAGTGCCTTAATGTAATATCTCTTTGGCCCCCAAAGAACAGGTAATTTTGTGTAATAAATGGGTTTTCTCCCACATATACTTAAGGCATTGCTAAGGTATTTGAGTATGTATGTGTATACATATATATATATATATATATATATTTGAATAGTCAATAGTCCAAATAAATTAGACTAGAAAGTATTTAATAAATGAGGAATTTAATTGTGTAGATGGTAAATACCTAGGAAACCAGTTCACTGCCCATTAGAGTTGAACATTTTATAAATTAGTTTTATTAATGTTATTCAAAGTTTTATTTAAAATAAGTCCTCTGATAATTCAGCTTATCTTAAGCACTCTGGGGACAATAAAGTGGGATTTTAATATTTTAATATCATGAATATATATTTGTACTTCTTAAAGGAGCAAAATAATGCTGCTATTAAGTTCGGCTTCTTCTGAATCTTTTTTTGAATTGAATCACGGTGAGATATACAGTTACAAAGTTGTTCTTGATTGGGTTTCAGTCACATAGTGTTTCAACACCTATGTCTCTTCACCAGTGTACTGAATCACATTTAAGTACTTGTAAATATTTAGAAATATATGTGCCATAACTAAATTATTACTGTTTAAATTTATAAATATGATTATTGTCCTGATATTTATTGCTTTAGAATTATAAGAGCACCCCTTTTAAGTAACATCATGGACCCTTCTGTGAATTGTCTAAAGTTTTATACGCAATACTTTCTACAGCAGAACAGTTTACAAGACTCTGGACCACAGGAAAGTGAAGTAACAGCAGAAAATATCTTAACTGTAGCCAAGGATCCAAGATATGCCAGATATCTCAAAATGGTTCAAGTGGTAAGTTGATTTGGTCTGTCTTCTCTGTTTAGCAGTCTCATTTGAAATCCTTAATCCTGAAGGCTTCGTTGTTAATATTCTATCAGAGAAAATTGCTAACCAAGCAACCAAATGTTCTATTTTTTTATGACTCTTATTTTTTTAATTAATATCCCGATTAAAAGTAATGAGAAGTCAAATCTTTCTAATAAAATTGGTCTCACACTTCAAACAGTTTAATGCAATATTTTCTTTTTGCTTTGCACAAAGTTATTGTTGCAAATCTTGAATGGATCAGATAGAGGAATAAAAAGTGTACTTCTCATTTGACTCATTTGATAAAATATTATGGCTTAATTCCCGCTTGTTAGTGTAAATAATTTTTGTGTGTATTTTTATTTTTATTTTATTATTATTTTTTAATTTTTATCAGTAGAACACCATGAGGTACAGTTGTAGAATTACAAATTTTTGTGCTTGGGTTTCAATTATACAATGATCAAGTACCCATCCCTCCACCAGTGCCCATTTTCCACCACCACGGATCACAGTATCCCTCCCACCCCCCATTCCCCCCATCCCACCCTGGCTCTGTGGCAGGGCATTCCCTTTTGTTCTCTCTCTCCTTTTGGGTGCTGTGGTTTGCAAAAGAGGCATTGGATGGCAATCATGTTTGGTCTATAGTCTACTTTCAGCATGCTTCTCCCATCCTGGGAGGATCCTCCCAACACCCTTTATTTGGTGCTCTCCTCTCTATCTGAGCTACCTTTTCCCCTAGCGTGTACAACTGGCCTCCAAGCCATGGAGTAAACCTCCTGGTACTTATCTCGGCTATTCTTGGGTGTTAGTCTCCTATTTTATTTCTTTATGTTCCCCAGATGAATGCAATCTTTCTATATCTGTCCCTCTCTTTCTGACTCATTTCGCTTAGCATGATACTTTCCATGTAGTATCACTTGTATATAAATTTCATGACTTCATCTTTTCTAAACAGCTACATAGTACTCCATTGTGTAGATGTGCCAAAGTTTCTTTAACCAGTCATCTGTTCTTGGGCACTCAGGTTTTTTTCCAGATTCTGGCTATTGTAAAGAGTGCTGCAATGAACAAACAAGTGCAGATGTCACTTCGACTATACTTTTTTGCCTCTTTGGGATATATTCCCAAGAGTGGTATTGCTGGGTCAAATGGGAGCTTAATTTCTAATTTTTTAAGAATTGTCCATACTGTTTTCCAAAAGGGCTGAACTAGTCAGCATTCCCACCAGCAGTGAAGGAGGGTCCCTTTCTCGCCACATCCACGCCAGCACTGGTTGCTTTTGTTCTTTTGGATGTGGGCCAGTCTCCGTGGTGTGAGATGATATCTCATTGTTGTTTTGATCTGCATCTCCCTGATGATTAATGATGTAGAGCATTTTCTCATGTGCCTTTTAGCCATTCGGACTTCTTCTTTGAGAAAGTTTCTGTTCATTTCGTCGCCCCATTTTTTGATGGGGTTGGATGTTTTCTTCTTGTGAAGTTCAACCAGTACTTTGTGTGTATTTTTATTTTTAATTCAGTCTGTCAGTGGTTAGTCTCATATCTTTTGAGCCGTGTATCTTTTAATATTATATGACTAGGAAATCATTACATGAAATGCTACTAAAAATATTTGCAATTTTCAGTACTAGCAGATGTTAATTTCCTGGTGAAGGTGCTAGTTGTTTGTTTTTCGCTCAACCAAAAAAATTAGTACTTATGGATAATTCTTTTACCAGACAGAGAAACGCTAATACTAAATAAGAGTTTTGTTTGGGGGGTGCTAGAGAAGCTAGTACTGCAGATCTCCTGGGCATCATGGTGTGTGATCAACAAAAAACAAACAAACAAAAAAGAGTTTTGTGGAGTCCATGCAAAATTCAATCAGCCTAATCAGTGGCTGAATAAATAGCAGTACTCCTACATTAAAAAAAAAAAAAAGAAAGAAAAGGAAAAAAAAAAAACGTTTTGTTAACCATAGCATTCTCATCAAAACTGCACTGCACTGCACTGCACTGTCCTCCCGTTGTTCATCGATTTGGTCGAGCAGTCCCAGTAGAGTCTCCATTTTGAGACTTGTTGTTACTGTGTTTGGCATATTGAATACATCCTGGGTAGCTTGCCAGGCTTTGCTGTGCAGGTGAGATACTCTCGGTTAGCTTGCCCAGCTCTCTGAGAGAGGCGGAGGAATTGAACCCAGCTCAGCCGGGCCGGCTGCTTGCTAGGCAAACGCCCTACGGCTGTGCTATCACTCCAGCCTCTCACCAAAACAAATCTTAAAAATACTATCCAGGCAACCAGAAAGAGTAAATTAACTCTTCAAAGCTACACTGATGATGATGGGAAGAGCATGTACACTTTAATTACTTGTCCAAAAAATGTATTTTCAGAGGTCAGACCCTTAGGCATGATGTGACAGAAAAATGAATAAACCAAGCCTTGCAAATGGAAACATAAAGTTATTGAGATAATAGGAATAAGGTGGGATTATTGGATGATGAATTCTAAATTTTTGAAGTTTGAATTTAGGTAGGAAAACTTGAGATGGACTCTTGAGTATGTTGGACGTTTGAACAAAAGACATTTTTGTTACTCTAGAGGCATTTTGTATGAGTCATTTCTAAGTTCTAAAGTCGAAATCAAAAAAAGTCCACTTGATAAGATTCTGAGAATGCTCTGGAATGTTTGATAAAGGTCACTATCCCAGGCTGTCTTCCTGGTGCACTGTCTCTTCATTTCATAAGAACTTCAAAAACATTTTCCTTTTCACTGTAAATCTCTTACCCATTTATTCCATCAATATTCATTAAACACTTTAAATTTGTGAATGCTGGCATTGTGATTTGTGTTAATTAAATCACATTCAATTGTGAGCTACCAATGGTATGTGCTCGCATCAGTGTGGTAAGGTATTAGATATTATCTGTATTTATTTAGCAAGCTGAGGGTTAGGTACCACTTGATATTGCTTACTAATCATTTCATAGTTTTTCATGTGTGTATGTGTGTGTGTGTGTGTGTGTGTGTGTGTGTGTGTGTAATACTCTCTAATCATGTGGCTTAACCATTTCACTGGGAGTAAAAGCCAAAATTCTTCACAGGCTTAAGAGTTACTAACAGTTTAGCTTTTTTTGTTATGTTTCTAATTATATAGCTTTACTCTGCTCCAATTTGACTGGTCTTTAGAATGTTCCTTGAATATAGTCATGGGGTCTGGGAGATACTTCAAGTGATGGAGGACATGCCAAGCATGCTCATGGCCCTGAGTTTAATCCCCACACCACCTGGTCTCTGAGCACTGCCAAGTAGAGCCCCATTGCCCTCAGTACCACCAGGTTATGTCCCCCATGGGCACTATGCACCACCAGCCACCAGGCTGAGTCCTGCCAGGAGTACTCCTAGGCCCCCAGCCAGGTATGGCCCCTAGAAAAATACATGCATATATATGTGTTTTCATGGCCAATATCCTGTCTTGGAGTTTTTGCCTCAGATATAGCCAGGGATTCCTGGCTCACTTCTTTCAAGTATTTCCTCCTTATCTCAGACTTGATTCCCTTTATTCCATTGTCTGCTATATTTTCCTTCAGAATACCACCAGGCATGTACTTCAGTAGTATGGTGTCTGCCTGCCTTGTGTGTGTGAGACCTGAGTTTGATCCCCAGTACCACAGTGGGGATCAAACAACCTATATACTTGACGTAATTTGTGTGTCGTCCACAGTAGAGGAGATTCCATAAAAGTAGTGAATTTTTTGTGTACCAGCCCCAGCACCTAGACCAATACTTGGTACACAGCATTTACCCATGTATGCAAAGACCTGGATTGTGCTATTTTACCTTTGCTTAGGTTTTGGTGAGAGCTTTCTCTTTGTACTGGCTCATTGGATTACAGACTAGTGGACTTTGCCAAAATATGAGTTTCTGACCCCTGGCCTCTAAATTAGAATCTTTGAGCCTTGGGCTTAAAGGTAGAGCATCTCCCCCACCCCCCGCCCCCACAAAATAAAGCCTTCTGATTAAAAACTGTATTAATAGATGTCATTATAATGTCTTGAAAATTATTTTACTTTGGGGCTAGCGTGACAGTGCAACAGGTAGAGTGCTTCGCCTTGTACACGACCAACCTGGGTTTGATCCTCAGCACCCCATATGGTTCCCTGAGTACTGCCGGGAATAACACCTGAACATCGCCAGTGGTGCACCAAAAACGAAACAAAAAAAAAGAGAGAGAAAATTTTACTTTAAAACATTTTTGAAATAGTGATGAATTCTTTTATATTAAATTTGATTTTGAGGCCACATTCAGTGGTTGATCAGGGCTTACTCATGGCTCCCAGTGTTGGTCAGGGCTTACTCATGGCTCAGCACTCAGGGATCCCTCCCTCCTGGCAGTGCTTGGGGAACATGTGTGGGATCCAAACAGATCCTTGCGTGCATGCAAGGCAAGAGGAATTGCCTCTCCAGCCCCCATTTTATTTTGTCTTTTAGTGATTTAATTCTTGCCCTATTTTTTTTAAATCCTGGTATCAGTGAGCATGAGCAGGGGTTCTGTTCTTTTTATTTATTTAAAAAAATTTTTTTAATTGAATCACAGTGAAATGCACAGTTTCAGAGTTGTTCATGATTGGGTTTTAGTCGTACAGTGTTCCATCACCCGTCCCTTCCACCAGTGTACATTTTCCAACACAATGAAAGGCTACCGGGTATATCCCTTTACATACTTCCAACATCATTTTGGACAAGGTTTTGTTCTTCAACCTCAGATTTTGTCCTGTTCTAAGCCCATTCCCCCGACCTCTTTGGTTTCTCTGCCTTTTGTCTGCTGCTGGTACCGTAATATCTCATTTGTCAACGTTTCCTCATTGGTTGTAGAAGTGATGCTGCTTTGTGCAGCCCCACCTCTTCAGGTACCCAGATTTGGTCTTCTTCAGCTGTGCTAAGACATCTGTCTTTCATCTCCACATAATTCCTCTGCATAGTAGTTCTTATTCATGCAATCATTAA